CGAAAGTCTTCAAGTGCAAAATATCGATGAAGGAAAGTGGATAGTGATTACTGATAAAGACATTACAGCATTACAACAGTGCGGAAGTAAAAAGAAAATGTGTTTTTGAATGGAACTCATTTAGTAGAATTCAATTTCCCATGTAGTTTAAAAATTGCTGACATTATCATCAAGTCTTTTAAAAATATTAATCACAAATTTTATGTTTTTCCTTTACCTAATATTAAGGTCAATGTTTCACACAAAATAGAACATAAGGACCTTAAGTTAGTGACTTTAAACAATGTTAATTTTAATAAATTGGATTCTTTGCAAAATAAAATACAAAATCAAAGAAAATCAAATTTGGGTCAGTTAAGTTAGCCCCCCCCCCCCCCCTATAGAAAATTTCTGGATGGAAATTATCCCATAATTTTGCTCTCATTTTGCTCCATTTTGCTCCACTTATTTCGATCGATTTTTGCTCCATTACAGGGGAGAGACTATGTGGCCTATTAGGTGGGGCGGGGGCTGAATTAACGCTAGGCCCCCCCCACCCCCCAGTGAAAATTCTGAAATTTGATCATGCTCATTTTGTTCTCCGAGTTTTGCTCCACTACCGGCGAGTTTTGCTCCATTACCAGGAGAGACCTACAGAGCTCCCAAGAATCTCTCCCAGCCCCCCCCCCCCCTCCCCCCCAGTGAAAATTCTGAAATTTGATCATGCTCATTTTGTTCTCCGAGTTTTGCTCCATTTTGCTCCACTATCGGCGAGTTTTGCTCCATTACCAGGAGAGACACCTACAGAGCTCCCAAGAATCTCTCCCAGCCCCCCCCCCCAGTGAAAATAAATTCTGAAATTTGATCATGCTCATTTTGTTGTTCGAGTTTTGCTCCATTTTGCTCTACTATCGGCGAGTTTTGCTCCATTACCAGGAGAGACCTTACAGAGCTCCCAAGAATCTCTCCCAGCCCTCCCTGGTGAAAATTCTGAAATTTCATCATGCTCATTTTGTTCTCCGAGTTTTGCTCCATTTTGCTCCATGATCGACGAGTTCTGCTCAATTACCAGGAATGACCTACAGAGCTCCCAAGAATCTCTCCTAGCCCCCCCCCCCCCCCCCCCCGGTAAATTTTTTTAAATTTGAACATGTTCATTTTGTTCTCCGAGTTTTGCTCCATTATCGGCGAGTTTTGCTCTATTACCAGGAATGACCTACAGAGTTCCAAAGAATCTCTTCTTGCCCCCCAGTGAAAATTTTGAAACTTGAAACTACTCATACCGAGTTTTGCTCCATTTTGCACCATAATTAGCTCGTTTTGCTCGATGACGAGCCGTTTTCGGATGCCACGCTTTGAGCGCTCAGCGCTTTCGAGTTAGTCCGAAGTACTCCGGCTACAATTTACACATTCGAGCGAACAGAGTTTGGCGCTCTCAAGCTGCTCTCACTTTCCTCGCCTGTTTCCCCGGATGCACCTTTATGTGGGGTTCGAGAAAGTACATAATTTATATGTAACATAAAATTAAGTAATTTTTAAAAATCTTCGTCATCTGTAATATCTTCCCACAGTTCCCACTCAGGATCCATTTTCAATTAAATATAAAATAACGAATATCCACTTGAAAAACAATATATATTCAAAAGCCATGGTGATCCCTTATCAAAAAACAAACAAAACATAGGAGAGTCAGGTTAGAAAAACCCAAAAAAGACTTGAACTCCCCTTGAACGCCCAAATTCGGACGTTCAAGATCAACCTCAGTTCACACTCTGAACCGACCATGTACAACGAGTTTTTTCCTTTGAACCACTAGTCACTTATGAACTTCGGTTGAACGTCCGTTGTACAACCGGGCCTAACTGATTTTTAAGCGTTCGAGTGCAAAGCGCATTGAGTATAATGGGCATGAAATGCTCCAGGTGTTTCGCACATTGCACCCGAAAGCAGCTCTGGAATGAACTACACAGATCCCAGGAATCTCTCCTTGCAACACGTGTGAAAATTTTGAAGTTTCTATATGCACATTTTGTTCTCCGAGTTTTGCTCCATGATCGGCGAGTTTTGCTCCATTACCTGGAATGACCTACAAGCTCCTAAGAATCTCTCCTAGTCCTCCCACACCAGTGAAAATTTTGTTTGATCATATTCATTCTGTTCTCCGAGTTTTGCTCCGTTTTGCTCCATGATCGGCGAGTTCTGCTCCATTACCTGAGCTGCTTTCGGGTGCCACGTTTTGAGCACTCAGACGCTCTGAAGCTGCTCTCATTTGCCTCGCCTCTTTTTCCTGATGCACCTGTAACTGATTTTCAAGCATTTGAGTGCAAAGAGCATTGAGTATAATGACCGTATTATTTGTTGTCCTTGTCTAGTCAACAGGCTATTAAGTATATCTCAATCGTTTTGATAGGTTTGATAGATTCATAAAATCTATCGCTATGACTCCTGTCCCATTGGCTTCCTCTCCCCTTTCAGACGTCGTCCGTCATGATCTGTGCTGTGTGTTTCAACAAAGGCGGAATACTCGTTCTCATGGAAACGCTGCTCCCCTGTTTCAAGAATAAGGACCATAGATGTCATTCCAGGTAATGGAGCAAAACTCGCCGATCATGGAGCAAAATGGAGCAGAACTCGGAGAACAAAATGAGCACGATCAAATTTCAGAATTTTCACTGGGGGGGGGGGGGGGCTGGGAGAGATTCTTGGGAGCTCTGTAGGTCTCTCCTGGTAATGGAGCAAAACTCGCCGATAGTGGAGCAAAATGGAGCAAAACTCGGAGAACAAAATGAGCATGATCAAATTTCAGAATTTTCACTGGGGGGTGGGGGGGCTAGCGTTAATTCAGCCCCCCCCCCCCCCACCTAATAGGCCATATAGTCTCTCCACTGTAATGGAGCAAAAATTGAAATTCGTGGAGCAAAATGAGAGCAAAATTATGGGATAATTTTCATCCAGAAATTTTCTATGGGGGGGCTAAATTAACTAACTGACCCATCAAATTTGGAAATGCTAAAAGATCCAGTTTATTATTATACGCCCAGTATACGGACTATTTTACTTTATATTATAATTTTATTGATTTTATTATTTTTCTTCAAAGTATCTGCTCCCTTTGTTCTATGTCAAAAAGAAATTGGATTCTAACAATAATGAAATCATTATTTGAACTTCAAATGTTTTGGGTCCTAAAAACTTAAAAGTTTATATGCCCAATTAAAAGGGGAGGAGTTACGTGCACAGAATAGGGACCTTGCATGAAAAATTAAATTGATAACCGTTTATTGCAAATTGTAGGAAATCGAAAAAAAAATCTATACGTATTTTTTCATTTTATCCAAATATGATTATTCCGAAAGTTATACAAAGATACAGTTTTGCATATATAGATATACTTAGCATGGTGTGACGTCATAGAATATGAAAAATAAGTACATTTCAAAGCGTTGTATCTCCGTCAATTTTTGTCTAACAAAAAAAAGAAAAAACACGTGTTGACTTATTTTTTATTGACAAACGAAAACCGCAATAAAAAAAAATTATGCAAGGGGCCTTTCAAGCCAGTTTCATCTGTATAACTGTACGTGTATGTTCGGTCCGGTAAACAAAAGCACAGATTACTTACATACAGATGCGAAAGAGCGGCGAATTCGTGGTTCAAGATTAATTTGATAGACATAGGCTGGCCGCACCAATGCCACATCAATGTATTTTGAACATATTTATTATATGTATAAATGCGGAAGCTCAATAATATAATATTATTTCTTTAATTGGTTCACAAACAGCAAAAAAATATTTTTTTCTACCCGCAAAAATATGTAAACACAGAGGCTGGAGCATGCTCACGCACTCGGCCACGTTAATTGTCCTGACGCGGGCGATCTTTATCTATGCGTGGGGCCGCTGGATGGCGGCCCGGCTTCGTCACAGAATATCGTCGACAGCAAGTATACGTACTTACGCATCTGTATTAGGTGACAAAAGTTTGTTTTTAGAAAATAAAGTTTGTTTTTAAAAAGTCGTTTTTGTGGTTCCACAACGTAATTCTCTCAATGCGTGCCATAACTTGCTTAATGTATATTATGAGAGTTCAAGATAATAATTATTTGCTAGAATAATAATTACCGAACATCCTGTTATTAACACAAAATCAATCACAAATTTATGAAAAAAAAAAAACTGGAGATACTTACTGGTGGCGGTTTCAAAAGTTTGACCAAATCGATAGCCGGCTTTTCCTCTTCATCTTGCTTATGCAAAATAATCAACAAATGAGCAGCTAACTGATCTTCTTCAGATGTAAGATTGGGATGAGTACGAATTTCTTCCAAAATTTCTTCCAAAAAGTTTGCCGTTTAAGTTCTTCATTTTGCTTAAAATCTTTACCTTGCTTAGAAATCCAATGCCTGTATATATTCATTTAATTAAGTATAGTAGATAGAATAATAAGATAAATATATTACCTTAAAATGTTTAGTACCCTCATAGTCGCAGCAGTTGATATTAAACGCTCCAAAGACTTTGTTTTTTCTTCAGGTGGAATTTGTTCCTGTTGAAATTGTACAGCAACTGGATTATCAGCTGCACAAGTGGCTATAGCGAAAGCTTTGCTAGCATAAGAAGAACTACTTCTTCTTTTTTCTTGCGTAGTTCCACCCACAATAACCCCTGCTTTACACGGAGGATTAGTGACAGCTTCATGCTGGAATCTGTAGCATGCAGTTTTAGATCGGCTGGACTGGGGCTCGCGTTTTTCGCCTTCTTTTTGGGAACGTTGATAGAACTTTTGAAAAAACTACAAATCAAGGCATTCACATTTATTCCTTTAAAATTATTATTACTATCTTACCTCCAAAATTTCCTCAGTTGAATTTCTTACTGATGCAATTGTAAGTTTTGTTATGTCAGTACATTTTTTTTCTCCCCTGTCTCCCATATTTACTGACTCCTCTTGCTTATCCTCTGGAAGCATCTCACTTTCAAATGAAAAACTATTTTTTGTTTTCGTTTTTTTTTCAAACCTAGGCGATGATATGTGTCTGTAAATATTCTTTTTTTTTTCCGTCTTCTCTAGATTTTCTTTGTTTTTCAAATATTTCTAACGCGGTGCTACTATGGACCGATGACCGTTTAGGATCTTCAGGAGTAGCAATTGATAGAAATTTTCGTTCATCATCTACAGAAACAAGAGCAGGTCTACGCTTTTCTAAATTTCTAAGAGCCACTTTTTTTTCTTCGACTCTATCACGTCGTCTTCTTTGTTCTAATGTGAGTTGGTCCACTGGAATCTCCTGACCACAAGTAGAGCATGGATCTGGACCGAGATCTAGGTAAAAATTTCTATTTTTATTATCATATAGATTATATAGTGTCTTCGTAATCTTTCTGACAAAATAATGGAAATTAATTACTGAGATAATTCTCGAGAAGCAATTTACATGTGGTTTTGATGCGGCAAGTGTGTATGTTGGGTTTGAATCGCACCCGGACTGTAGAGGTTTAATCCCAGTTGAGTGACTAAAATTTTCAAATTTTCAACACAGTGATAGTGCTGACAAGAACCTAACGGGAGAGCTGATTTTTGAGCAAAATCACCCAATGCGTAACCTGGGACAACTGAAAAACATCCAAACATTAGCTGAAACAACAACAAAAAGAGAAATAAAATACCATCATCAAAGGTGGTCCCACTTCACAAAGGTAAATTTTTATTTACTTTTTCTTGTGAGTGAGGATTATTTCTGGCTGCTATCAGCGTGCCAATGTAAATATTAAACATTTTGCTGTAGAGCCTATAGACCGGTGTGAAGTTAGCGGCCTTTTCCAGCAGCCAAAAATGTGAAGTTAGCAGCCATCTGTATAGTAGCAGCCAAAATTGTGAAGTTAGCAGCCAATTATTGGCAGCTCTTTTATCAAAAAATGGTTGATTTACAAATTTTGTGTATATTTTAATTACATACCCTCGTGCAAAGTACAACAGAGAAAAAAAAACTACCCCTAATAGAACACCAAGTAAAACACTAATATACAAAAAAAATTTGTCAAAGTAAAATGTGACACATTCAAACTTAGAATAGTCTGCAACGTGGCCCTCAAGTACGTCCAGTTCGAAGAAAAACCTCTTATTGCCGTCAGGCAACCATTGAATCAACTCTTACTGTTAAAATAATTGAAAAAGCACATTTCGGAAAAATGTAAGACCATCAAACCCAGTGGGACGATCATTAGAACCATTTCAAACATTCCCACCTAGCCTGCCGTCGGAGTGTGATAAAAACTACCCTTATCATAAAAATAATTGAAAAAAATTGAAAAAGCATATTTCGGAAAAGTGTAACACCTTCAAGCTTATTGGGACGATAACTTGAACCATTTAGAACATTCCCACCAAAGGGAAACCCCTTACCTGCCGTCGGAGTGTGATAAAAGCTACCCTTATTGTAAAAATAATTGGCAAAAAAAAATTAAAAAAGCATATTTCGAAAAAGTGTAACACCTTCAAACTCATCGGGACGATAGATAACTAGAACCATTTCAAACATTTCCAACAAATAACAACCCCTTACCTGCTGTCAGAGTGTGATGAAAACTACCTTTAGTATAAAAATAATTTAAAATAATTGAAACAGCACATTTAGGAAAAGTGTAACGCCTTTAAACTTATTCGGACGATAACTAGAATCATTTCAAACATTCCCACCAATGGACAACCCGTTACCTGCCATCCGTGTATGACAAAACTACCCTTTTTAGAATAGAAAAAATTAAGAAGCAAATCAAAAACACATTTATGAAAAGTGTGGGACTATAAATAATAAACAAAAATACTGAACAATAATTGATTGATTAATGATATCATCAAGCGGTCTTTTAGATCAGCAGGTTTTCCTTCTGTTCTTGAGCCAGAAGGTCTGTGTCGGAGCGACGGAAAGCGGGTAGATGGGATGACAATGGTTTCTTGGAAAGCTGGAAAGGAACTAATTTGGAACGCCACGTGTAGTCACACCTAGTGATGCCGCGAGACTCGAGACTGGTCTCGTCTCGTCTCGTCTCGTCTCGACTTTTCGGCTTTTGGTCTCGTCTCGTGAAGTGTCGACGAGACGAGACCAGACTCGGCGAGAGTCTGGCGTAGTCTCGAGTCTCGAGATTACAATTAAATTTTTTTTTCGTAGCTTTATTATTGGACTATTTTGGGCTATTTGAATATGAAATCAGAAAAAAAACTTGAACGTCAAATAAAAAAAATAAACGTCGATAAAAGAGTTCTTGAAAAAAGAATCACCTTGCAGTTTTTTGTGAATTCTAATACCTACTTACAATAATTAATGGGATGTTTTCTACATACCTACTTAATCTTCAGATTCCACTTTCAGTTTAGCCATTAGTGAGATCAATTTAAAGAAATGTTTAACGCATAAGCACTTCCGACTAAACTAGAAGTTAGATCTGAAGATAAAGTATGTAGAAGGCATCCCATCAATTCACACAAAAAATACTGGGTGATTCTTTTTTCAAAAACTCTTTTGTCCGACATTTTTTTATTTTTATTTGACGTTCATATTTTTTCAAATATCACGGTTCCTCTTTACTGTGATTTTTCACTCTTTAAATAACTGCTTTTTCATTGTGGCAGTTTGGACTTTCGTTACAAAAATAAATACAGGGTGTCCGGAAAATAGCGTAAAACCTGTCCACGTAGTAGGGGATCCTTTGAAAAACCATAGAAAAACAATTAAAAAAATCCTTCTCGGGCATTCTTGGTAATATGGAGAGGTAAATGTGGAAATTCAACTTCCTTATTTTTGATTTTATTTTATTTTTTCAAAATGCAATATTTCGTACAAATTGTTAGGTATCTTTTTTTGATTCATAATATTAATGCAAAAATTCCAAATTACAACAGGAAAAATTGATCTGACAACATTTTTTAGTCACCTTCGAATTTTAACGCTGTGACTAGAGTCCCGAATCCGGATCCACATCCAGTCCCGAGTGACGTCATCAGTAGTTTTGTCGAGACTGGTGTTCCGCTCCTACTCAGGAATCTCGCTTACAGTCCCGACTTAAAACACATGCTTCGAGGTTATAGTTTAGCATCTGTGGTATAGCCATAAATCATTTGTAATTTTGTTAATAGGTACCTATACATATACAGGGTGTCCCACTAAGGTCGGCCAGGTACGATATTATGGAGACCATAGACCTTACGTAACTTGAAAACGAATGCAGATATTGAATTGCAGTTTGCGCCAAAATGTAGATATCTCTCTCTTTAAGCACAGCAATACAAAAATAATATTATGCCATTTGGATTTTTCATGAAAATTAGAAAAAACTGTATCTTGAATAAACAGCGCCCTCTAGAAGACGCGGTGGGAACTATCGACCTCGAACGAAGTGGTGTTCTTGATAACAATGAAATTATGTTCCAAATAAACCCAAATTGAATGAGTTTGAATGAGGGGTATGGAAGATAGAGCAATGTCTAAAAAAAAAAAATTCACCAGTTTTCCCCACCCTTATTACTGAAGATACGAAAAAAAGCGTAATAACCAAACTGGCGCAAAAATTAATGAACTTTTGATTTCTGTTGTTAAAACAGTATCTTAATATAGCGATTTCTTGAGAAAATTTGAATTTTTAGCTATATCATCGTAATTGCGCCCCCTAGCGGTCATCCTAGAAATTTGAAAATAATTTCCATCAATTTCTCTTGGCCGATTTAGTGAAGAAAAAAAAAATCCCGAAGCCGTGAGGTCTATGGTTTCCATAATATCGTACCTGGCCGACCTTAGTGGGACACCAGGTACTACACTATTATACAGGGTGTACCACGATATTTTACCCAGGTGATAACTTCGGAAAGCGTCATCAAATGTTCCACTTTGTAACTTTTTATCATTTTATTCAAAAAAGTCTTGACAAATAGGTATGGCATTGCCGATTTTGTATTTAAATTTTCCAACAAAAAAATTCTATACCTACCTAATATGCCAGGATACATTTAGGATTCCGAAGTTGAGTTGCAGTCACCACTTGACCGATACTGGAGCGAAAGTGGTGAAATTGCATGACACAAATAGAAGCGGCGAAAAAAGTTACCCAGATCCTCAAAATTTCAATTACATTAGATGACGCGTTCCGAAGTTATCAGTTATCACAAAAGTCTATCACCTGGTAGGTAGAAAACCAAAAATGTATTCTTAATTTCTGAGGATCGAGCTCTTTTGCATTTAAAGGTTGGAAATTGGCAGAGAAGTTTAGCATGTATATTGATGTGAAAAACTTCATCAATCAATATGTAATGTAAACTACCCTATTTTCTGTTAACCTGTGTTTTTGAAATAAAATTTACGCTAGTGGAAATATCGGGTCTTCAAAAAAAAAACAATCAAAGATTGCTATGGGTTTTTAAACGTATGTCTTAGCAATATTTTCCTTCAATTTTGTCAATGAACTTTATTGTCAAAATGTCATGTCAAAAATTCTGACCAATAAGGAAACAATAATTCGACGTACGTTTTCGTAATCAAAGCACTATTTGATTGTTTCTTTTTTTTTTTTTGAAGACCCGACATATGTTGTCGTATTTATTTGAATTGAATAGGTACCTGATGTGGTTTTACCTTATGGAGGAGTTATTGTGATTCTCCTTATAGTTTAGGGACCATATGCGAGTCCCGTGTAATATGGAGGTAACACACCCTGTATATTTGTTCTAATTAGTATTGTTAATAATGATTGTGCAGTAATTGATTATATTTTTGTTATACATATTTCTACACACTCAGCACTGACCCATTGAGACCAACTAATTATTTAACACCTAGACAGCAGAATATAGAACTATGTAGAACAGAGAGGTTGTTTTACTGAACCCTGATTTAGAAGAACCTAAATCCTTACATGCTGATCCTGCCAGTTCTTTGTTCTATTTAAAAGTAAATCAAGAATTGGCAAACTTGAAAATGGGTAACGCAAAATCGAAGGAAGAGATCACCATCAATCAAGCATCTAGTGGTGACGCAAAAAGCCAGGTTTCGAATAACGGATTTACCTTATCTGAGTGCCTTCTAATCGTTCTGGTAGTATTGGCAGTTCTGGGTGTGGTATACCTTATAGCCAAACGGTGAAAAAAGCATTTGAGGACAACTATTAGAAGAGAAATTTGCAAGAATGAGCTCATGAAGTCCAAGGTGTAATGCCCGGTGTATTACGGGATTAGTGAAACGATCATGTCGATGTTAACTATCTGACTATATTGATAATAATTAATTATCATGTTTGTGTAACAAATATGTTTATACATTAGGTAATTAACTAGGTTACTATAACTTAAT